TGATACTGAGCCATTTTCAGGAGCAGATGTTTCAGTTCTATCAATAATAAAGGAAGGTAAAAAAAAAAACATGTGCAGGTCCTTTACGAAATAAAATACATATTGACTAGAGTTTCCTGCAGGGTTTGATGGTCTAAATACCTCACATCAGCTGAAATAAAGAGCGCATCTGCTAGCATCAGAAGAAATGATTGCATTTTTATGAAATATAATATTATACATATATTAAGCTTTAGAGGAAAAATAAGCAAGGTCATGTGTTTAATGAGCCAAGTCAGTGTTTGAACCATCGTCTAGTGCAACAAAGGACATGTAATTTATGATAAAAGAGCAAAGTGCAGTCAAAGGAGCTGAGGAGAGGGAACAGACGCAGCCTCAGTGTTACTGGGTTCTGAATAGGAAAGTTCTTCACAAAAAAAGAGCAGTACAGAAAGAGGAGGAGTGTCTGGGGTCAAAACAAGTACAAAGATATTAGAATAGATATTTTTATTCACGACATGTTTGCTGCTCCCTAAAAAAGCCTACACTAAATAAGATTAGGAGTGAGGCAACATATCAATATTTATTGTTTACCATCTTTCTTAATCATATTGTTTTTGTTTGTTTTTAATATTGTCATTATAGTTAACAATTCTGTTATCCACACAATGACATAAACAAAACCTGAGTGCGTTTTCTTCCCGAGTGATTTAAGATGTCGACCATGAACAGCAACATCTCCGGTTTGTTGCAACTCTCTCCTTCATTTCTATTACTGTCTGATATAAACACTAAAAATGCCTCTGAAGAAATTATTTTTTTACACAATATAATTCAGTCCAGTCTGATGAACATGAACTAGACACTTAAACAGAGGATTTTCCAAATATTTACAGAAAATGCAGCATATAAATATTCTGCAAAGGTTCTGTGCTCTGCTCTTAACATGACTGAGAGCATTAAGTAAGTGTAGCCTTCACGAGCAAAGCCTCCTCCACACGCTGGGCTCACTTCCACACTAACAGGGATTTTGGCAGCACTGATCACTGCAGTCGAAGCTCTGAGCACTTCGGACTGCAGGCTGATGCTACCATCTATTGAGGCGCTCAGTAACAATTTCACCGGATGTCAAAGAAGACTTTATCAAACAGGAGCTGTATGTCGTTCATATAGTCTGTTTTTACTTCTTTGTACTGGATGTTTTGTCTCATGTTTTATGTCTCATAACTTGACTCCACAGATTCTCCTTTTCTGAGGCTCACAAGGAAAAATGCCAAACATTCAGATGCAGAGATGCTAATAACTGATAATTTCACTATTGATTAGTGCACCAAGTCGTCTAGTATCAACAAATTAATTGCTAAGTCTGCCTCACAATTTCACACATCCTCAAATTGCTTGTTTTGTGCGACCAACAGTCCAAAACTTCAAAGATACTCTGTTTAACATCATAAAAGACTAAAAAGAACATATTCACCTTTGAGAAGCAGGAGGAATTTTTTTTTTTTGGCTTCTTTTGCATTAAGTAAATTATTACTTATTAATGATTTACCAAACTTGAGGCCTATGAATTATCTGTTGGTTACAGCCTTTCACCACTGTAAATTACAGTCCATGCTTATGTCGATCTACAGGAATACCATAAGGTATAGGCCTAGTTTTGCACAGATGGCTAAAATGTCTTTTAGAGACAACTTCAGTGCAGTGGTAACCGTTGTTCTGAAGGTATTGTTATTCTCGAATTACCCCCTGGGCTTTTCTAACGTCATTCGTCAATTATCTTTTAGGGTAAACAATGACAGTTACTACAGCCACCCCAAATGCAAACAGGTTAACATATGTATTTGCATTATCTTCCTGAATTGGCTTTAAAAAGTTTTTCTTCTTTCTCAATTTGTTTTTAATAGCATAAAGCCAGGAAGTGGTGATTCATTAGTTCAGTTTCTGGTCAAACAGCTGGCTCTTCTCACCCAGGATCAGATCCAGTACTCACCCTGTCCATCCTCTTTGAACACCAGCTCTCTCTTCTCGGACTCATTCTCGTTCTTTCCACGTCGCCTATTCTTTCCTCCTTTACCTGTAAACAGAGACAAGAAGACAAAAATTACAGCCCTCCATTCATTCATTGTTTGAATCTACTCACTGGGTTAAAGGTCAGTGAATAGAATCAGTTACCCCACTTGTAGCCATCTTAATTTCTAGCTGACCGAATTCCCCTTCACACAGTCGGTTAGTAACGGTTACTAGCATTTTTAAATAAATAACTGAGTCAGATAATCTCTGTTTAACTTGGGGACTAAAGAAGATAGGAAACCGTGGCTAACGCTTGACGCTACCTTGCTAATTTATGCGACATACCACATATGTCACATTACTTGGACGCTCAAATTAAATCTCCAAGTTGATTCAATAAGCCAGTAAAAAGTTATCAAATGTTATCAGGGGTTACATCAGGTGAAATAAAGCTGTCACAGGCCAGACCGGGGTGGGGTTTAACTAGTAGCTAGCCAGTTAGCTGTGGCAGCTAGCAGCGGAATTACACTAGCATGCGGGCACAAAGTATTAAGCAACTTTATCTAACCAACATTAACTCCCTCACGTTAATTCATGTTTAGTGGCAAGGTAAACGCAGACACCGTTAACGGCTCTGTAACCGACTCTAACCGTGGTGCTAACTAGCGTTAGCCGCTCGGTGTCACGTTTTCACTGCGTGTGTCTCAGCGGCGGGCTCGACACAATTATACAAACACCGAAACACACACACACGTTAACACCTTCCCGCGTCTCTTACCTTTATTTTTGGGCATATTCTTTCACTCCTCGGTCACGTTAACCCCTCTCGGTAGAAACGACAGGCTGTTAAACAATAACTGTTTATAGTAGTCAGCGAAAGCGGAGATGTGAACTGAGCTAGCTAACCACCGCTAATTCTTTCCACCGGTCTGCGCAGGCGCCTAACAAGGCATTCAAAATGCGTTGCTTTATTGTAATACGTCATTGTTAACAAACACAAAAGCCATCTAGATTATATGAATAACAATTATTTGTTTTATGGCGGTTGACGAGCAGTATGACATTGTTTTACCACGGCCAACTGGACTAACAAGACTTTTGTATCAATGAAAGAAACAAAATGGAGGAAAAATTAAAAGAAACGTACGTTCTGAGACCATTCCACCAGAGTGGGAAGATGGACATGTTTAAAATTAATGAGATAGACACATATAAGTATAAAGAATTTTTGCCGTTTTAATAAACAATATATAAATAAGTATATATAAATTAAATATGTATCATTAACATATAGTCACAACATGTAATACCATTATTTCGTTTACAAATTTCATTATACAAATTATAAACTAATATCTTCATATATCCAGAGAATGTATATATGTGATGATATAAGTGAAAGATATGGCAACATCGCCCTTGATATAGGGACATATATGTCATATATTACATTTCTGTATGGGGTTCATTTTCAGTTTTGTTTATCACAACTAAATGACTGTGAAAACGAAGTGTATTTGTCTTGTTGCTGTTTTGAATGAAGACATTTTTTGTTCGAGTATTTTCTTTTTATGCAACAGGATGTGATTTTTACAGTTGTATGTAGAGACAAATAAATTATGATGTACTATTACAGTTACTCAGCAACTGATGGTATTTATTGTAATCAAACAGCTTTTAATTAAACAACAATACTCCAGCTTTACATTCAGTAAACTGTAAAGACTTATTGGTTAAACAGTCACTCCTGTCATTGAGTGTTCAATATGAATGATTGAATTGATCTGAATATTTAACTGTTTCATTGCTGAGTTTTCACTCACTCGCGTAATAACTCAATCACTCATTTACTCGCTGGCCGACCGACCCCAGAGCTTTCTACCACGTCTCCTTTGTGGAAATGTTGTTATGGCAGACATTTCGTGACGTCAAAAAGGCTCATGTCCATAGTTCCAATTTACAAAGACAATCGAACGTCATGACGTCATGTAGACGTAATAAAGGCTATTTTTGGGTCCTATTTACAAACTCGGGTCTTTGAAATTCATGACGTCATGTTGACGTCATGGAATCGGTGAAACCGAGTTAGTAAATAGAAGTCGTTTTCTCTCTCTTCAGTAGAGCCGCGCTCCCTCAGGGGAGCGGTGGCAGAGGGCTCTGGTAGGGTGAGCGCAAGGTCTCGGTCTCTAGGGACGGCGACCGAGATGCCCACACGCACATGGCTGCGGTGGAGGCCCCGTGAATCTGGAACTGGACGTTGCAAGCTTAAGTTTGCCGTGCGGCTCTCCTCTGAGATTGAGCTGCTGCCGACCAAGTGGGGCAGTGACATCCGACCGCCAGAGCCCTCAGACCAGGCTATGCTAGACCATACTAGCATAGCCTAGACTAGACTAGCAGAGCATAGTATAGGCTAGACTAGAATAGGGTAGGCTAGACTAGAATAGACTAGAATAGACTAGACTAGACCAGCATAGCATAGGCTAGAATAGACTAGACTAGAATAGACTAGACTAGACCAGCATAGCATAGCACAGGCTAGACTGGACTAGACTAGAATAGACTAGACTATTCTAGCATAGCACAGCATAGGCCAGACTAGCATAGCATAGACTAGACTAGACTAGACTAGAACAGAATAAACAGACTAGAACAGTCTGGTCTATAGAATAGAATAAACTAGACAAGAATAGACCGGACCAGAATAGAATAAACCAGAAAATCTAAAGAACAGCAGATTTCTCCATTTATTAGCAGCATTATAACTTTTTATAGTTTATTTAATTTTGTATCCTGTCTTTGAAGTGCAAAACGCTTTTTTTTTTTTTTTTTACATTTGTTTTAAAAGGACGCTATATAAATAAAGTTATTTGAATTGTTATGGTATTCCTCCGCGCCACCAGGGGGCGATCTGTCCCTCCGAGCTGCTGTTGATGTTTTATTTTCCCCGGAGAGAGAATAGACATTTTGGGGGAGCTCCGCCGCTGAACGAAGCCTCCTCTCCTGCTGCTCCGAGGAAACGTTGATTTTCGTCTCTCCCTGAACATTTACTGGTTTGTTTCAGCTCTCCGCTCTCGCCGTTAAATAACCAAGTGGCGAGAAGAGAAAAAGATATCTTCGGCTGGAACTTCCAGTCGCTTCTCTCTGCACACAACCTGCCTTGTTTTGTTTTCAGCTAATCTGGTCAGCGAGGTTCGGCTGTGATGGCTGACTTCAGCAGCAGGGTCATGGTGAGTGTTTGTACCGTCGTTTGTTTTAAAGAAAGAAAGAAACTTGAATTCCTTCACTTTTCTCTACTTTGTTTCTGCACTAGCTGAAAGTGCATAAGTGAGTTGTAAACTAGTGAATTGTAAACCTATTGTAATCAGGATTTTAAAAGTATTCGTTAGTTGCAGGATAAGTAATATACACTAACCGCTGCATAACATTGTAAACAATAATTTTCTAAATGGAGAAACTACTGGGTGCTGCAGTAAATCTGTTTTCTGGAGCATAATCACAAGATCTGTGTCCTCAGGAAATTTGGTTAATAATAATAATAATAATAATAATAATAATCAGCTTTATTGGACAAATATGTTTGTGCATACAATGCGTATCAATAACAGTTTTGAGGAAGCTACACATGGACAATAAGAAAACCAGAGCTGAACACATAATAAACAAACATGACAATCATGAACATATCATTTGACTATTGATAAAGCACATTTTATTCATACAGTACATATCAAAACAAAGATGCATGTATAAGTGTTTCACATGGGGAAGAAGGCTTAATATAAAGTCAGCTGAAACTGAGTTTAATACAACACAATGAAATGAAGTGGAATAAACTTTTATTAACATGTAGCTGGGAAAATAGAATTCAGAGTTAAAAAAGAAGATTTTACTGATTCTGCAGCTTCAAAAGTAAAAAAACAAAAAAAAAAACTGTAAAGAAATAATCCTGATCAGGGTTTTTTCCAGGCTTGTACAAATATGTATTTTTGTGATAATCAAACAATAAAAACTGAATTCTTTCTTTTTTTCTTTTTATAAATTGTATTACTTTATGATCCATTTAAAGCCTTGTATGAGACTCAGTTCAATCAATCTGATAAGTCAAAATAGATGATGCAGAAAAAATCTAGGACCAGTGAAGTCAATTAAACTACAGCCATCCAACAAGAAGAAAAAGAAATTTGAATAAAATATGAAAATGTAAATAAATAAACCTCTCTTAAAAAAAAAAAAAAAAACAACTCTGTTGTTCCAGCGGTTTCTCAGAAAGCTGGAGTTTCTTTATCATTATAAGGTAATAAGGTAAGGTAAGGTAATGCAGAGCTCTCCTCTGTATCTACGGACTCAGCAGCCGGGTCCAACTTAACAAGCAGCTACTTTATTAAACCACAGCACGTTCTGGTTTGGACTCGTTCTAATCTGAAGATGCAAAGAGACAAAACATCAGCTTCATGGACTTTAAAGGGTCCGTGGTTTGTGTTTTTGGGAAGTTCCTTCTCTGATTTGAGGGTGTCATAACATTTGTAAAATCTTCTGCCTGAAAACATAAAACAATTTGTGTTTCTCATGTTAGACGTCCTCAGAGCAGCTGGCGGTCAGAGGAGGAGCTGCAGGAAAAGCGACGGCGTCCTCAGTCGTGGCGGGAAACGGAAACTGGGATGGTGCGGGCGGGATGGACCAGATCACAGTGGTGAGGATAGATGACACCCACATTGCAGAGGAGCAGTCTCACGTCAGCGGGAAGGTTAAAGATACCGCCGCCACCGCCGAGTTCTACGAGGTGGAGTACTCGCTGCCTGCGGAGGAGGTGGTCGTGGGAGAGGAAGAGGAGGACAGTGTTTATGTTATTGAATATTCAAATCCTGAGGAGGAAGGAGAGAGTTACCAGTTCACCATGTCTGTGGATCGATCGCTCCCGCCCAAAAAGCCGGTTATTAGACGTCCGGTGGTCAGAGAAAACGCCACAGCTCCGTTACCGGTGATGTCCAAACCGTCCAGACCGTCGAGGCAGAGACACGAGGTGAGGCAGAAGAGGAAGATGTCGTCAGAGGAGGAAGTCAAAGAGGAAGAAGTTGTGAGCAACAAGAGTGTGTTAGAGTTCGGAGAGGACTACAGCGACATGATGGGCTCAGGGAAACGACAGCTGGTGTGCTCGCTGTGCCCGCCGCCCGGCAGGACCTTCAAGAGGGCGTCAGGTCTGGCCGTACATTTGAAACAGATGCACCTCATGGAGGGGAAGAAGACGTTCTTCTGCACGTCCTGCAATCAGAGCGTTCGCACTCAAATCGAACTGGACGCACACACACGCCGCCACGCCAACCAGGACGCCGTCTTCACCTGCCTCCTCTGCCCGGCGGGGACAGAGGATCAAACCGAGGCGCAGACGACGGGGTTCAAAGGGTCCAGGTGGGGCCTGAAGAAACACCTGGAGAAGGAGCACCCGGGCGTCATCCCTCGCTGCGACGTCTGTAACAAAGGCTTCAAGACGCTCGTGTCGTACCTCGCCGATCAGTTCAGGCACGTCGGGGTGTCGCCGTACTACTGCGCCAAGTGTCAGATCTACGAAATGACTGAGAGGGGTCTGAGCGTGCACATCAAGAACCACGACAAGAAGAAGAAGAAGCAGGAGTTGGCTGAAAACCGCCTGCCGGCGATCGGAGTCTCCGCCCCGGTGGATAACTCCGCCACGGACGACTCCGACTTCTGACTCTGCAGAGAGTCCAGCCCGGCCTCTTCCTGTCAGCCGCACCAGCTCAGTGACCTCCTCCAAGTCAGACTCAGGTCCCACCGTTATGCATCCTGGACTGGTCTGAACTGGACAAGAACACGACTGGTTCTGTGTGCGACCACCTGAGCGTCAGACAGAACCGAGCCTTTATTTAGTCCAGACTTCTGTTAGAAACCTCCTCCGTGTTTACATGATACATTCAGTGTAATGTCCTTTAGTCAACTCGTGTCATCAGCGCAGTACGAGTCAGGTCAGGTCTCTTATTGTGAAAAACCATCAGGAGTATTTAGCATCATTAGAACCTTAAAAACCATTTGACCATTATTCCGGAGTGTGACACGACTCTGCTGTGGAAGTGGACGTTAAACTGAATTGACCATGTGAGCTGTTGCATTAGGCTGCAGGTGCCCCCCCCCCCCCCCCCCCCTTTTTTTTTTTTAATTTTTAACCTGGAGTTTATTTGAATATTTGAGGTGAGATTTTACGGTCTTTCAAAAATTTGCCATAACTTGTGCCACTTGGTTGAGTCTCCTCCCTGCAGCGTCCATCAGCGTCGTCATGGTAACGGCCTCAGTTTCAGTGGAGACTGAAGGGAAAAAAAAAAACAAACAAAAAAAAACAAAAAAAAAAAACACACATTTCTACACAACCAGGATTTTGTTTTTCTCATTTTTACCATCACATCAGTTCAATGTGTAAATATTTCACTCAGCAGCTTCATTTTAGCAGCAAGTTCCAAACCCACACTACAACCTCCACCCAGCTGTACAGTCTAATAACACACACTCTGCTGTTACTGCACCTATACTGTTCAGACAGTTTACTCAATCATATGCTTTAACACTGAGGTCTGAGTGTTGGTGTTACACTGGACTGCATTATAGTCACAGGTGTCTCTTTAAACCAGCTGGTGGTCTTCATCAGGCTCGTGCTAAAACACATTATTATATTATTGTCATTATAAACAACATTTAAATAAGATGAGATAAAAAGAAACTGATAAAAATTAGACAATAATGAGAAACATCTCAGTATGATGTAGTTCAGAAAACACCTTGAACTCTGACTTCAGTAACAAACGTGTTATTGGATTCATACATCTCCATCATGTATTTATATAATAATAAAAAATAATAAAAAAAAATCAACATACATAACCAGAATACTAACGAAGTGATTTAATGATGAACTTTACAAACTAAGATTTAATTTTAAAGTTCTTTGTTTCTGCAGCTGTTTTAACATCAGACACTTGAATCGTCCGTTTCTGTTGTAAATCGACTCAAAAATCTCATCTGGTGTAAAAACCTGATCAGAATGATTTTGAAGTCTGATTCAGGAAACTGGAGGATTCTGGGGTTTTTTTTTTTCCCTCACTATGACACATTTATATGAACCAAAACAATCGCCTTAATCATCACCCATGAGCGTGTGGCAGCCCTGTAGGTTCATGTTTTATTTCATAAAAGTGACAAAAATGTTTCTCAGACATTAACCAAAGAACCTCGACCTCTTAACTGAACGCTTTACTTTATTTTACAGGTCAGAATATCTTTCTGCCGTGTCCTGATATAATGTTATTAGATACATGTTGACACCAACTCTCTGGACTGATGGTGATAAAAGTCACGTCTTATTGTCATTACTTTATGGTAACACTGTGTTTTAATGGTTCCGATATTTTCCAGCTGATTCCCTGAAAACTTTCATCATCGTTTCCTAAAATCAGCTGATAATTAGCCGTTAGCATATTTCCATGAAAGACCGACGCAATTTGAGTTTTTAAGAAAAAAAAAAAAACAGAACTAGGAATTTATGTTGTCGTCAAATGGAACAAAATCAACCTGTTTCAGGGCTGCAGTGATTGTTGATTAAGCAGTCGACAAAATGCCAAATAAATGGTGAAAAATGCCCAATTTTTTGTGACGTCTGTGAACGCCTCTTGTCTGAAGCAACAGCCTAAAACTCACATATTCCTTTTATTTCACTTTCTTCACATTGAGAAGCTGGAAACAACAAATGATTCTGCTTCCAACTTTTCAAACAAACTCATTTACATCTTCTACAGTTTATTCCTTCCTGGTCTTGGTCTGAAGAGCCGAATGTTTGTCACAAGAAATCAGCAAAAATGAGAGAAAAGTAAAAATATATGCATCATTTTAAAAACAGAAATATATATTTCTTCTTTTTTGTCTTTATATTATTATTGTGTGAGCCCTCAGATTTATTTTAGGACCCTTTAAGGGCCCCAACCCACAGATTGGGAACCACTGAGGTCGTGTGTTTGGACCTGTTTTTGTCTATTGATTCAAAATGCGAAACTTGGTTTAAGCCCAAAATGTGGATTTAAAAACCAACAAATGTTTCATCCAGATATACGTCATTAAATTTACTCACTTGTTTTATGAGTTCAATTTTTATTTTTTCAATCAGTGGTATAAAAAAAAAAAAACCTCCTGTATCTTTTTTAATAAATAGATGTTGTAAAAAATATAAAAATGAAAGACTAACTTTACATTTTAAACTCTGCAGAGACGTGATGAGTTTCTGTTGGTGATGAAACAAATGAATTGTGAATATTTTACTTTTGGAGGATTAAACAAGTGAAAAGGTGCTAAAGAAAAAACAAACTCTGTTTGGTGGATAAACACTGAGATAAACTACAACAACCTGTTTTTACTCAACATTTATCGTCATGTTTTTGTTTCTGAAATGACATTTTGAAGTTCTCATTGAAATCTTTGTTACGTGTTTTTGTTAAAAGGTGGTTTCATGTTTTTTTCCTTTTTTACTTGAGCAGTTTGATTTGTCTTTATTCACGTTTTTTTTTTTTAATTTTCTGATGTCATTAAAGGGAAACGCCACTGATCTTGATCCCGTGTGTTTCTTTCAGTAATTAATTTCTCATTAGAGCGACAGTCGAACCTCAGCTCTTTGTGGAATCAAACAAAAGGATTTAAAAAGCTAATGAACCAGTCGTCTTCCAGTTACAGTTTATACTCTTTTATTATTGCCAGACTCTTTTTCTTGAAGTTTGTACATTTGTTTATATAGAAATTAAATGTTTGGGACGACAAATAAGATTGATTTCATTATAAGTTGATTGTTGTCTCCTTGTTTGGACTGTAAACTTTCTTGGAGTCAAAGGAGAGATCGTTATGAGACTGATGGTGATACCTGCGGCTCCCGGTCCTCTTGGTTTCGTCTCTACCAGCTGTGCTCACCTGGATTCAGACAGTTTGTCTCCGTCTCAGACGCTCGTCCTTCCGGCAGGTTCTCCGTCTCTGCAGAGGACGTCTGGACGACCGGCTGGTTCCTGACTTCCTCCATCTCACATTCACAGAGACGACTGTTCTCTGGGAACACTGGGAGCTTCACGGCTGGTTTTACGTCCTGAATCAGGTCTGCAAAGAGTTCCTGGGTTCGGTTTTGGTCCTGACCTGCAGTGTGAGTCTTTTTAAACAATGTCCAATCAATTCAATTCAACACAGGTGACCTCCAGACGACTGCAAGGATCATTAAAGCAAACAGGAAGCAGCTGACCACAGCACAGAGTCTGAACACTTCAGTCAATGAGAGATTTCAGGTTTTGAGTTTCAACAAATTAAGAAATTTCTAAAAAAAAATGTCAATTTCATCCATTTAAAATTAAAGAGTAAAATGTGCAGAAACTTAATATCACATTGTGAATTGATGTGATCAGAGTTTGAGATCAGATCTGAGCTGGATCAATGAGACTGGTTCCGTTTATTGGTCTGGAGGTTTTTCTAAAAACTAAAAATAATAAACACAGCGATCAATAAAAGTCGTCATGCCTCGTTGACTGATTATCCTTTTTATTTATCATTTTAATAGAAAGTCCAACTCTCACTGCAGGTACAAAAACAGAGAGCTGGCGTAGCAGCAGGGCTGAATGCGTCTCTGACAGGATCAGATGAAAGAGGAAGAGGAGGAGGAGGAAGATGGAGAGAGAGAGAGAAGAGAGAGAGAAGAAGAAGAAGAAGAGAGAAAGCTATTCCCCTGTTTATAATTAACGAAAAAAGAATCATTCCTTTTACATTCCTTTATCCCAGAGCTGTACATGGACAGACGAGGCAGAGATCAACACTTATATATTTCATTTGATATAGAAAATAAAATAAAATCGAAGGTTTGTGTCGGAGCGGTGAAGTTTTGTCCCTTTACGTTGACAAACACTCACTCGAGCGCAGAAGAAGAGGAAGAAGCACTTTTCAATCATCTGCATGAAGATAATGAAGGATTCATATTACAGATGTTGCAGATGTTGCAGATGTTACAGATGTTGCAGATGTTGCAGATTTCTGGAGCGAGGAGAAGAAGTTGGATTCTTTTTTTTTGTTGTTTGTTTTTTTGTTAGTGCTCGCTGATCGTCTTCAGTCCCCCTCCTCGTCGACACAGTTCATGCCCCCCCCCCCCCCCCCCCCCCCCCCGCCCGCCACCCCGCCCCCCGCGCAGGGGGGGGGGGGGGGGGGGGGGGGGGGGGGGGTGGTTTTGCAGCAGAGGCACACACAGGTAACGAGAGCACTGACAGCTGGAGAAGGCAAAGCACAGACGCCCTGAACACTGTGGAGGTGTGACAGGGTCAGTTCACACAGGTCACATCCCACAGCTGAGCGTCGCACATCACGTGTCGTCATGGTCGTAATTAAAGGGCCAGTTCACCCAAATCTTCCTTCCTGACTCTTCAGGAAACAGCAGCTTCGTGTGAAACGTCTCAACACGAGGTCAAAGTCACTTGAAACCAAATCTCACTGTCATGGAGACGGTGTTTGTTCACCATCTATTATATGACTCTTATATGAGTACTGTGGCATTAAAGCAAGGAGAGGAAAGCCAAACAATGTGGTCGAAAGCTGCAACAACAAGTAAGTTAGACCTCATGTTGAGAGAAACCTTCTTTAATTCGTTAATATTTCTTGTTGTTCTGTTTGTTGCTTCATATTGTGAAACTGTTTGAACAGTGAGAAACACACACACTGATTCAACCTGTGACTAAGTGATCTGAGGAGAAAATGCTGAAGTTTTTGGGGTTTAAAGCCAAAAAGCTGAAGAATCTCTGAGCTGGTGGTGAATATTGGAGCAGATACTTTTAGTTTTGACAAATCTGTGTCTGAAGATTATTGATCATTTAAAGAAAAAACCCACATATCTCACAGGAACTTTCTATTTGAGATATGATGCTGAAGAAAGACAAAAAGAAAATATTAGCAGATTATTTCTGTCAAATCACCCGTTTTGTTTCATAATAATTAGAGGTCAGAGTTTCTAGAAGCAGAAATATATAATATTTTTCAACTTCAGACTCCACACACAGTTTTAACTGTCTGTTTATGGAAGAATTAAACTAATGTGATATATCATGTTGAGACTAAACCTCAGTGTCCCAGTCGTCTGTCTCTGAGTGATTTGGGTGAACTGTGTCTTTGACGTCTCCACGCTGGCTCCAGACATGGTTACAGGTAGATGTGAATATATATATATGTTTTTTTTTTTCTGCTACACAGGTGAGTTTTTAAAGGGTTCAGCAGACGGACGATCCTCTGTGTCACATGATGAACGTGGACGTTCCTGTTGTTTGGTCACACGGTGGGAAATGAGGAGTTTGAGTCCGACGTTTTCTCATCGAGATCAAACGTCCACGAAGACGAAACGTCCCGCTCTCCTCCCTTCACTCACGTCTCTGTGCTTCTTCTTTATCCTTTTTTTTTCTGACATATAAAAATGCATTGTCTTGATTCATAGAAACCTGAGTTGCTCGACGTGTTTGTATTTACAGTTCAGCTCCGTGTCGGCTGCACAGACAGAGATGATCAGGCGGCTCGTACAGAAGGTCGTCCGGGTTCGAGTGCTCTCACTCCAGCGACCGGCTGCGGAGGCAGGAAGCTCGTTTGGGAACGAGGTCTCGGCTTAATCCCGCTGTTTGTTTGGTGTGGCTGCCGACCCGAAGAGCGACTCCTCATCAGGACAGAAATACACGACGCGCCCACATGTTCTCTGACACTTCCTGTGCAGGCGTCACCCGTGTCCTTCACTTAAAGCCGTTTTCATAGCACCTAAAGCCTCAAAGTGTTTCTTCAAATTTTATTCAAATTCTTAAAGGCGAGATTCATCCGTAAAAACACGCCTGTTTTATTGATTCATCAGCCTGAAACTTTAGATTCTCAGTGTTTTTTTGCATAAATGAATTTCAGGTGTGAACGCTGGAGGGAAACTCAACTTTAAGTGCCAGATTTAAGAGGAAGGTGACTCTTGTTTGTTTTCCCTCCTGGCAGTTTACTGACGTCACTCAGTTTAGAGAAGTGCATTCAGGTCCACGGCCACCAGGGGGCGTCCTCAGGCAGATTCTGTTTGTTCCTGTTGGTTTGATAAAAGCTGTTTGAGGAAATGACTGAACTTTTCTTCAAAGATGAAACTATAAGAAACTGTATTTTCATGGGATTTGTTAACAAACAAAAAATATAGAAGATCAGGAGACTTCTCCTCTGAGTTTGTTAACACTTTAACAGATGAGACAAACCAATCAGATTTTGTTCATGGCCTTACAGGTAAAACACTGGAGGCTGGAGGTGTGACTCCACCTCAGACGCACTGACGTTCATTTTCTAAACAAAACCGTGAGACTTTTCTTTCCTTCAGGTTCGACCGGACGCTGCAGCTCTCGCTTCCTCTTTTCCTACGTCTTGATTTTTGGAGCTTTTTCTGGTCGCGGCCGCTCCGCTCAGTGAGGTGAACGTTAACCTGCGCCGCTTCACGCCCTCCGTCCTTTTCTGGAGACGCCGTCATCTCAGAGGCTACTTGAGGTTTAAATGCAGGATCTACAGCTACGCAGAATCACGACGCCACTATAATAACCGTGATCTAGCTCTTTAAATGCATACATTAGATTACCGTGTTCCTAAGTTCAGATTCCCGCCGTTTTGAAGTAAATAAATACAGTACTTTCATTTTCCTGACGCGCTGATTGTCCAAAGCAAAAAACGCCGCAGGAGGACTCGGCCTCCTGCGGCGGGAAGAGTCGACAGGTCGTCGTTAGTCCAGCTGTCCATCGGTGACGCCACAACTGAGACTCTACAGTAAGACAGCAGAAGAGATCCAATCAGAGGAGTCCGTTAAGGTGCAGGACAGGGAGGGGAGGGGAGGGGAGGGGAGGGAGGTGAGCGGCGGTCTCTGTGCTCCTATTTGGCGTTAGCGGTTCCCAGGTCCATCAGTAGTCTGTCCCGCCGGACCGGAGTGGACAGGAGAGGGGAGGGGAGGAGGGGAGTAGGGACGTCCGGCGGAGGTCAGATCGAGGTCAGAGTTGATGGGAGGAGGTGAGGGAGGGAGGGGGGGGAGGGGTTAAAGGTCACAGAGCGGTGGAGGTGATTTTCTTCACCCCCCTCCGCTGGGCCAGAGTGGAGCAGCCCACCGGCTCCAGGACCGGGGGGACGTTCCTGTTGAGGGCGGAGTAGGTGGCCGCCATGGCGCCCTGCAGGGAGGAGACAGAGTCGGCGCCTCGTTAGTCGGTTCAGTTCAGTCAATATTCTGCACTAAATGTTTCTTATTAACATCAATATTTGTGTCGTTGTTTTGTGCTTCATGTTAAAATGACATGAATAATCTCGTTAGTGATTCTCTCCAACATTTCTCACTTCTAATTTACATTTAACGAAGCCTCTCTGTGGAACACGACACTCACCAGAAACATATGAATGAATTCAGTCTGGTACAAACAGATCAGCTCCTTTCATCCTCCTGCACGCTTTTATTGTGAAATACATTTAATCTGCACGGAGATTTGTGCCTGGGGTGAACTGGCATTTTACCCAGCAGCATGCTAAATGACTGTGTTTCCATGACAACCAACAGGGGCAGGAGAGGGAATTAAAAAAAATCAAACCCTGGACATGTGACTAGAACCACCATTCTTTTATTCTTATGGTTTGTGAATCAGAAACTTTTTCCTGTTACAGCTGAAGCGACCGCAGAGAAACTTCCTGCTGATTCATGACGCTGTGGAGCTGGACTGAGGTTTGTGCTGGTGTGTGTGTGTGTGTGTGTGTGTGTGTGTGTGTGTGTGTGTGTGTGTGTGTGTGTGTCACCTTGACGAGGTGCGGTGCGTCCTGCCTGTTCAGGGTGTACTTCGGCAGCTGGTCTCTGTGTGTCACCCAGGGGTGTCTGAGGACCTGACCTGCCGTCAGCCGCTGGTGCGGGTCGACATGCAGCATCTTCGACACCAGATCCTGAGGGGGGGGGTCAGAGGTCACACAGTCACACATCTCCATCAAACATACAGTATACAGTCACAGGAAACAAAGGAGGGAAAGAAAATGTTTCCTGCGTCTGTGTCGTCACCTTGGCCTCGGCAGAGACGGACGTCCAGTATCCTCCGCTGAGTGAGAACTTTCCGCTGCCGATACGAGCCAGGATCTCCTCCGGCGTGTCCTCCGGACCGTTCGCAAACGGAGTGAAGCTGGAGACGGAGGAGGAGAAAAGAGTTATTAAAAACAAACTTCTACAGGAGCTGCAGCCGAAAACAAACTCAAGGAAAAGGTTTCCACCAACCCTGTGAGCATGGTGTAGAGCAGCACTCCCAGACTCCAGATGTCACAGGCGGCATCGTAACCCTGCTTCTTCAACACCTGCCACAAACACAGACAACATCTGTACAAACATCTGCTTTCCTCTTCAGCTTTCATGCACACATCTATCCTCCTCTACAACATGTCAGCTGTGTGTAAATATATATCTAATATTCAACATTAAACAGTGAGATACTGAAACACAAAAATCTAAATAAGAAACATCAGAACCTTCACATCCTCTTCATCACAATAATCATTGTTTAGAGTTACAGTGTTGAAACGCTGATCTGAGATCAGTGCGCACGTCGCCGTGGTTTGATGCCGGAGACGGTGAGTTACCTCGGGTGCGACAAAGTTGGCGGTGTAGCACGGCGTCATGAGCAGGCCGTTCTCCGCCCTCAGCTGTTTGGCGAAACCGAAGTCGCAGATCCGGATGGACTCGGCGTTCCCGCTCACGTCCACGTACAGGATGTTACTGGGCTTCAGGTCTCTGTGAACCATGTGCAAACACACACACACACACACACACACACACACCAGGTTATTTCTGATGTGGATTCATGATTTATGATCTTTTATTTGTTGCTGCTGCTTCTTAAATGAATTAAATGAACACAATAACTCATACGATCGTCTCTCCCTCAGCTGAGACGATGAAGTTTCCAAACATCTCAAATAAACAGTAAAACACAAAGGAACAATATCTCTAGACTCTTTTCACTTATCAATAAAAATCTTTTCAGTAACTGGTTTGAAATGTTTCTGATTTATTTCCAATAATCTCCTTCCAGTTTCCTGAAAACAACTAAATCATTTGGTGCTGATTACAGCTGAAACACAGAGGGAGGAGTTAGCTCTAAATGCTAAGCTAACACAACCCAACACTTCTATTCAGAGGTTTCCAACAATTAATAAATGAGAATGGAACAGTTTCTTTCATCAATAACAAACTGACTCCTGTAACTATGACACGTTTCTTTCCAGGAAACTTTCCTGGAATCATTTTAATTTGAATTTCTTCTTCTTGTCAATCACACCCACGTTTCACCGGTCATTGTTCTGTCCCGTCTGTTGGGAACACGCTGAATTCCTTTCTGTGTGAAATGAATTCAGTGTGAATAAATCCTCAAGATGTGGCCAAACAGAAAAGAAGAAGATCTGCAACAGCATCAAGTTAAAGGTCTCATCAAAGCATCATGAACGATGGCGAACAGGAGCACGAGGGAGTGCGGGTGGTTCAGGAACGTACCCCCTGCACGTGCAGGTACTCCACCGTCCTGGTGATGGTGTAGAGAACGGCGCTCGCCTCTCTCTCCGAGAAGAACTTCTGTCGCAGGATCTTGTCGAGCAGCTCGCCTCCTTTCATCAGCTCCGTCACCAGGAACACCGAGCGGCCGTCGTCGTACACCTGCGACACGGAAACAAGTCAACCGGCAGTGAGTCACAGCTGGAAGCATTCGTTCATTATCACTGGAAGTTATTTTAATAATTGATTAATCGTCTTTAATCACCATCTTTAAAGCAAACACATCAAAAGCTTCTCAATATGAATCTTTGTCAGTTTTCTTAGTTTTCTACGATCGTAAACTTGATCTTATAAACTGAAAGACAGACGGATTAATCAATAAACTAATCGACAGATTAACAGATAACTGATCGACTCTGTGCATCAGAGCAAAATAAAGAACTTTGCTGGTTTTAAGTCAGAAAATATCGATTGTTAGATTCTGACGTCAGACTGAACCAGGAACAAATAAAGAACTACAAAAACTTTCCTAAAACATTTGAGCAACTTTCAACACTGACGGTTCAACACTCTGCTGCACCTGCTGCGTGAGAGAGATGATATATACTTAAGATAAGTTCCCAGCAGCTACAGAGGAAGTAAAACACAGATGAACTGTATCACAACTGAAAACACCAGCGAGATAAACTCGTCTTTTGTTCCTGGATCTGATGCGAGTGAGGAGATTCTCACTCGGCAGCAACGTGATATTTTTAACTCTCATTAAGAGTGAGTCACAGAAACAGTGAAACAGTGAAACAGTGAAGTCACCGGCGTCAGAGCAGGAGAATCACTGCTGTTATTTTCTGCGTCCAGCGGGCAGACGCACAAATTCACCGCTGACCTCCGACTGAATCACACACAGGATACACAGCTAGATTTTCACAATAAGATGCATGTATCTGTGTCTTTGTGAAACCGTCAGATTCACGGTGTTACTGGGCGTGTGACTCACGTCCTTGAGGGTGATGATGTTGGGGTGCTGCCCGTATCTCAGCAGGATCTCCACCTCCTCCGTCGGGTCTCTCTTGGCCTTGTTGATGATCTGTAACGAGGACAAACGGACGTTTACGGCGTTGAACGGCTGGACGCAGACGTCACGCTGGAGGCCGTGTGTGTGTTTTTGTTTTGTTTGTTTTGTTCACCTTGACGGCGTACTCCATGCCGGTTCCTTTGTGTATGCAGCGTTTACAGATGGAGTAGGAGCCGACGCCGATGTCCTCTTTGATCTCGTAGGCGTCTGAGAACTGGGATGTGCTTCGGTGCAGCTGCTACAAGCAAAGACGCAGTTTATTACCACTAATAACTGACGACATCACAGAGCTGCTGCATAAGAATAAACAGCTGCTTATTTATTTAATACAAAATCCACTTCATGGCTTCTTCAGGAGCTTTCAAGCTGATCTCACACACTGTCAGTGAATCTACAGTCCTTCAGCCTCTGACACTCTGACCTCTACAGACTGACTCTCCTCCACTTCATCAGCGTCTGTCCGTCTGTGTGAGACGAGCGTGTGTTCGCACCTGTACTATGGCGTTGGGCAGTGGTTGTGTTTCCTCCTCTGTTATGGCCACAAAACTGAATCCTCTGAACAGCTGATGGGCGTTGGCACTGGGAGGAACCCCCGGAGAGTCTGAGACACAGAAACAGCCGTTAATGAAAGTCAGACTTTACTGAGAATGTAGTTCAGCTCAGCAGCGTGTGAAGAGGAGGAGGAGGAGCTACAGTGACAGTCTGGTACCTCTGGGTGTTTTAGCTGTGAACTCTGGATCAAAATAGAAAGTGTCGTCAGGTCGACCTGCAGCCGGTTTGAACGGAGGGGGGATCTCTCTGCGGAAGAGTTTCTGCGGAGAGAGGGAGGCGTCGGAGAACTCAGCAGAGAGAAACGGTCACGACGGAATAATCAAAGAAATGAGAGCGTTTTTATTTCAGCTCTGGTTCCTGCGTCTCACTCACGTTCCAGTCGATGGTGCTGAAGAAGTGATGCCTCTTGATCTCCTCCACTCCGTCCGGTCCAGCTCCTGCAGAGACAGAAACACAACGACCAGCTGAGAGGCAGCGGGACAGGAGCAGACCAGCAGGGGGCAGAGTGTGTCCTGTAATCACAACCTCCCTGTTTAATCCCCACAGACACTGTCACAGCTCTCTGCTGGAAAACAACCTCACACATATATAGTTTCATTTCAGGAGGGAGGAGCTGTCAGGGACTGTCTGTTACCAGACCCAAAATTAAAAAGGTTACTGTTCTTCAACCCCTTCAAGAACCAAGAAGTCAGGATGAGAGTGAAAGATACTGAGGAGGAGGAGGAGGAGGAGGAGGAGCCACGGGTCTGAACCAGTTCTGTGTCTGCAGCTGTTGCAGTGATTTGGATCCTGAGACTCTTTGCACAGACAGAACCCGGAGACCTGGAGCTTTCCAACCATGTAAAACACACTGAAAGCGGCGCTACCAGAACACAGGGTTGATCCACAGTTGGTGCTGTAGTGAGAGATTTGTGGAGCAGCAGGACGGTGTGTGTGTGTGTGTGTGTGTGTGTGTGTGTGATGAAGCAACATCTCACCCAGAGCGACACAGTGACTCAGTGATGTGTCTTTAATAGTTTTTGGAAACAGTGGAGCGGCTCAGAGGAGTCACACACAGATTTACTGACGAGAAGAAAGAACAGATCATCACCAGGTTTGTTGGATATAAAGGTGTTTTTGTAGTTTTTGATTTGAAGTATCTTCGACGTGACTCTCAGTGTGAGGCCTCACCTGTGCACACATGAGGACAAAACTCCCCTTCAGCTTTCAGCTATCCTTCATGTTTTACACTCTCATCTTTGACTCCAGCTGGAGCAGTTTAACTTTTCAAACTTTTCATCACACAGCTGCAGTTTGATCAGACGCTGCTGCTGCTTCTAAAACTAAGAGCGGAGAGCGTGTAACTCCAGTTCTCAGGCCTCTGACTGGTTTCCAAAGTTTTATTTACTGTCTATAAGCCACTAAATATGTTTCAGAAATGCTCCATGTACATGAGCCTGATACTGTAGGTGTCTAAGATCTGCAGGAGCCCGGAGGTAAAACTGCTGGAACCAGATCCCGAAGGATTAAATCAAATCTGTCTGAACTGTAACTGCCTTTAAAAACGGCCTCTGTTTAATCCTTTAATCCTGCACTTTAATTAGACATTATCCACTTTATAACTGTGTTTTTACACTGTTTTCTTATGGTGTTTTTGAACGACCTCCGTGTGTGATGATGTACATACACAGATCTTCCCAATGCTCCCAGCATGCTTCAGTGTTTTGTATGATTACAGGTGAGGGGTTATTCTGAGAGAATAAAATCCAGCTCCTGTTGTTTGAAGTGTTTTGTGAATTGTTTTTTACCTAATCTGTTGGCAGGGTTGCGTTTGAAAAGGTTCCTGAGGAGACTCTGAGCTTCTGAACTCAAGAACTGAGGCATTCCCAGCTTGGCTCTGAGGAGACACAGACAGACACAGGGACAGAGCGAAGTGAAGACACAGGTGCGGCTGTCATCACACGTCCATACTGCATATCCACAATGAAAGTATCTGAAAGACTAGAGGATAATCTGTCACACACACACACACACACAGGAAACACAGTCAGCAGTCTGCAGAGTGTGCTCAGCGTTTTCTACAGTCGGAGGCTGAGACAGAGACGACAGAGGAAACAGGACGGGTTAATATTTCCTCTCTTTTGTTTTTTTCCTCTGACGAACTCAAACATAATTAGACTTTCTCTCTTCTCTTCTCCTCCCTCCTAATCTTCTTTCTCCTCCTCCTCTTCCTCCCTCGCTGTTATAAATGGCTACCGGCACACTGGAGTCCACTGCTCCTATCCCTCCTCTGCTCTGTCCATCCTCATCCTCCTCTTCCTCCTGAGTGCTGCACATTATCTCCTCTATTATAAATCCTTCACCCCCCCCCCCCCCCCCGGGCTGACTCTGTGGAGGGAGGAGGGAAGTCTCTCTCTCTCTCTCTCTGTGTAATAGAAGCCGTCAGCTGGTGATTGGCTTGGACTTTACAGACGGTATAAAGTGTCTTACTTCAGGATCATGGTCATGGTCTCTTTCCGGTCTTTGCCCTGAAACGGCAGCGTTCCCGTCAGCATCTCGAACTACAACAAAGAACAACGACAACACGGTGAGAGATTTACACACAGAGATGATATTAACCCCGCCCCTTCTTCCTGCGTTTACCAGACGGTCTGACCAATCAGAGGAGAGGACGTCCTCACCTGGTTTGTAATGATGCGTTTCGGTTCACTTGAATTTTTCTCTTCAACTGAATCGGAGCGCAGAGCAAATCAACTTCAAGCGTGAAAACGTCCTAAAAATCCTTTTATATAATAATATAATGATGATATTTTCAATAAAAGTCACAGTTTTGTTTCTATTCAGAGATTCTACCACCAGTGAACTACTCTCTAATATATTAACTGTTATTGTTTTATCAACTGTTATTAATTGTTTTATGAACTGTTGTTAATTGTTTTATGAACTGTTGTTAATTGTCTTATGAACTGTTGTTAATTGTTTTATGAACTGTGTTGGTTTCACCGTGATGAAAGGTCGTGGTGAAGATGATCGGTGTCCTCCATGAACAGCTACGTCTGTCTCTACAGTATAAAGTGTGTTGTGTTGTAGTGAGAGAACTATTAAAATGATCCCATAGTGAATTGTGTGTAATTATATTTTCTGACGGTTTATGATTGAGAAAATAACAATTAGTTTCAGCCACATGTAAGAAATAATGAGTCTCTGTTATACACTGTAGTTGATCTGTTGTTGACTGAATGTTTTCGCTCGCTGTCTTTCCTGATAAAGAGAAGATCATTAAAGATCTCTGTCCTCTGGATTTCTCTCTGCACCACAGAACAAACTCAGAGCGGCTGGAGGACTGTTGTGACTCCATGTTTCTGTAATCACATTATTTGAGGCTAAGTTAATTATCAAACTGAGGTGGGACACAAATAGCAGGGGGGGGGGCGTGACAACTTTCCCTCCACGCAGCCAGCAGCGTGACCGACGAGCGAGCGGCGTCCCCTCACCATGAGCACGCCGTACGACCACCAGTCGGCGCTGTGCGTGTGTCCTCGCCTGTTCACCACCTCGGGAGCCATGTACTCCACCGTCCCACAGAAGGAGTAGGCTTTGTTCTCGTGGTCTATTGACTCTTTGCTGAGGCCAAAGTCTGAACACACACACACACACACACACACACACAGAAACCAGCGATAAGTGAAGAGTTATCGTAATTTACAGCAGTGAAAACATCATATGCAAACATACGAGACTTTGCAGCAGCTGAACTGAACAGCAGCAGCAGCAGCAGAAGAAGAAGAAGAAGAAGAAGAAGATACACACTGACAGAAACACAATGTGAGTGTGACATTACACACCGGTCAGCTTGATGTGTCCATCCTCATCCAGCAGGATGCTGAAACGACAGAAATGCTTTTTATATTCTGAAGGAAATGTCTGCAGGGAAACATAATGCAGTGTGTGTGTGTGTGCGTGTGTGTGTGTGTGTGTGTGTGTGTGTGTGTGTGTGTGCGCGCCTACTTCTCAGGCTTGAGGTCTCTGTAAATGATTCCGAGGCTGTGAAGGTGATCGAGCGCCAGGGCGAGTTCAGCCAGGTAAAACTTCACATCCTCCTCTGTGAACATGACCTGCAACACACACACACACACACACACACACACACACACACACACACAACAGATAATTAATATCTGATTAATTAACTAATTCTTAGTCCTCTTGTTTTTCATGCACCTGAGCTGAAACAGGTGAAACAGGCGTTACCTCCTTGGAGAGCCGAGTGAAGAGATCTCCTCCTCGGAGAAAATCCAGGATCAAGTAGAGCTTCCCCTCCGTCTGAAACGCTGCAGGAAGGAGAGGAAGGAAGGGAGGAAGGAAGGGGGGAAGGGAGGGAGGAAGAAGAGGAAAGTGATTTTAGATAAGATCTGAGAAGTTCCCGCCTGCTGAACATTTCCACTGCCAGCTTTGTTGCTCTGCTAGAAGAGGAGTAACGAGCTCTGATTGGCCGGAGCGGAGCTGGTGACTCATCAGGGAGGTCTGTTATTGTCTGACTCACCGTAGTGCAGTTTGACGATGAAGGGATGGTTGACCTCCACCAGGATGTCTCTCTCCATCTTTGTCCTGACCCGGTCACGCACTGGGAACACACACACACGGACACACACACACACACACACACACACGCACACACACACGCACACACACACACAGAGAGAGAGAGAGAGAGAGAGTGGAAAACACATAAATCACCAGATACAGCTCTTAAAGAAAAGCCAAAATAAAACAGGCTCCGTTATTCGGTTTCTGTTTTGGTTGGAGAGGCGCCGAGATGGCAGCAGATGACAAACTGAATCAGAGGGAGAGAAGCAGAAGATCCGCAACAAGAGAGAAAGAAAGAAAGAAAGAAAGAAAGAAAGAAAGAAAGAAAGAAACTGAGAGGAGGAGAAACACACAAACAAAGAGGAAGCCAGAAAGGAGAGAAAGAAGAAACAAAATAAAGCAGCAGGTGTTTTTCCCACCAGCAGATGGTGTATGAGCTGAGCGTCGCTCTCTTCTCTGTTCGGTCTCATGTTAATGTGTGAAATTCCATTTTGGGAAATGACGACCGAGCAAAAACAAACAATTATCCGACGAAAACATCCAGGTGACTTCATCCGCTCCGTCAGCCTGTTAATCTGCGAGACTCAATCATCCCACGGTGAAGAGAAAGAAACTCAAACTTTTACGTTTTAATACACGAGTTTCTGCAGAATTTCATTTCTCACTAATCAACTTTATTTCGCTTCGGCTTCTGTTCAAATTTGGATTTTTATGATCTGACAGTCGGACTGAAAAATATACAGTGACCTCTAAACTCAAAGCCACGGTTCTGCAGTCTTTTACCTGCTGCGTTTTATCATATACGAGCTCCACCACGTGTTTGGACACAGGTTGTGTGATGAGGGTGAACAGACGTGAAGCTGATTCATAAATATGTGTCAGTCTGTGTTTATCTGCCGTTTTACCTGCAGCAGTGAGTGACACAGCTCAGACTCACAAATCCAGTTGTTTCTCTTGTTTCCCTCCAGTTTCTCTCTTTCGTAATCCTTTCTTTTTACGTTCATGAACTGGAGTCAGACAGTTCAGGTGAAGGGGAAACAACATGAGTCACAGTCTTCGTACCTTTCAGAGTGGCTTTCTTCAGGACCTTCATGGCGTACAGCTGACCAGCGTCTGGTCCTGTGATCTTCCTCACCAGGAACACCTACACACACACACACACACACACACACACACACACACACACACACACACACACACACACACACAGTGAAAAATTAAGTCACTTGCTGAAGCATTTATTGTAATATTTATATGTTTGTGTGAAACGTAGTGTGTATTAATGGGTATCAGTGTGTGTGTGTGTGTGTGTTTGTTTGGGTTAGCCCCATTTTCTAGGTCATACTTGTGTAGATTAACACACACACACACACACACACACACACACACACACACACACACAAGCTAATTGTTCATTCATAAAGACGGTGATGATATAGAGCGGGAGTGTGAAGGGCCCTCAGCCTGCCGTTTCCATGGCAACGGGCTCTCAAACACTGACACAGGGGAAACACTACGCTGATCTGAGTGGAAGTGAAGCCCACACTTACACACACACACTTAAAGCCCACACACACACACACACACACACACACACACACACACACACACACACACACACACACATACCTTGCCGAAGGAGCCTTGTCCCAGGACTTTGCGCAGCTCGAACTGTCGAGGGTCGGCCTTCTCTGACCCCTCCTTCACATGGTGAGTGATACTGATCTCCTTGATTGGCACGTCATCCTGTAACACACACACACACACACACACACACACTATCAGAGTCTGAAATTCACAGTGTTAAAGTCAGATAACTGGACCCTTATGTCCATGAACTCCATGATGAAAGAAACACAAGCGCTCACAGTAATTATAGATTCTCATCAAGAAGCACAAAAAAAGTCAGTTTTACCTCATTAATATGCAAATTTATGCAGCAAAACAAAAGAAAATCTCATCACATCATCTCCTCCATATGAGGTACCTGTGGTCTGAGTTAATGTGTCTACAGAGTCACAGACGTCACCATGACAACACGACGTCCTGCATACCACATACAAACAGAAAACACGTGTGCGAAGTGGTGTCCACATACTTATGGCCACACACAAAGTAAATAAGGGAGGGGCTTTCTACACATCACTGATGGCTTTTCAGTTCACCAACAGGCAACTCAGCAACCATTCAGCCATTATACAAGGAACACACAGAGACTCAATTAACCACAATGCATTGCAGCTGAATGAGTTTTTACTCCACTAACAGAAGCCTCATGTCTATAACACGTTATCTCCACATTAAGAGACAACGAAAGAGTGTGGAGCTTTTCTTTTGTTGTTTGTTTTTTTTTTAAGGGCATTCTGGGAAATGTAGTACGTAAAGCAGCAGGTAAATCCAAAAGTAAACTACAACAACACTGAGCGACGAGTCTGAAGGTGGATTTTTCCCTCTCGTCCAGAATTCTTCACATCGCAGAGAATCACACAACAGGTGGAGCAGAGCTCCCGAACATTCGTCATCCACACAGTGGGAAACTACAGCACACACACACACACACACACACACACACACACACACACACACACACACACACACACACACACACAGTTGTCATGGAGCCACCCCCGATACCTGCTTCCCGCTGTAGCTGAGTGACTAATGACACCATACTGTGTGTGTGTGTGTGTGTGTGTGTGTGTGTGCAGAGACATCCTCCTTCAGTCGTTAACTCTTTCTGAAGCTTCCGCTTGATTCTCCACATAATGATACAATAAACCAGACAGGTGAACAGGTGAACAGGTAAACAGGTGAACAGGTAAACAAGTGGACAGGTGAACAGGTAAGCACACCCATACTGTCATCATCCTCTCTATGCTCTTCCTTGATCTCTCTGTCCACACCTTCCCTCTCCTCCTCCTCCTCCTCTTCCTCTCTTTGTACCTGCAGGTCCCAGGTGTTGGCTGCTGGGTGTCCCAGTGTATTATGGGTCCTGTAGTCCCGACTGCGGCTGAGCTTCTGTGGCGCCAACATGCTCCTGTGCGTCGACGGCGAGGCGACAGGATGGAGCCGGTGCCGGCTTCTGCTCGTCCTCTCTCTCTCTCTCTCTCTCCCTCTCACTCTGTGTCTATCTCTCTCTCCCTCTGAGAGATCATGCCTCCCTCTCTCCCTCCCTCCCTCCTTCATTCCCTCCCTCGTTCCCTCCTACTTTCTCACTTTTTCTATCTTTATTTGAACCGTTCTCACCTCTCCTCTCCTCTCTCTCTCCTTGTCTGTCTTTCTTATTCTCTCTCTCTCTCATGGGAAAAGGTTGTAGACTGGAGTGGGGGGGGGGGGGGGGGGTGTGCAGCCAGATGTGCAGTAGTGGAGGAATATTCAGATACTTTACTTCAGTAAAAGTACAAATACTTCACTTTAAAATGTCTCTATTACAAATAAAAGCCCTGCATTTAAAATCATCAGAAAAATGTGCTTAAAAAATCTTAATAAAAGTTCTAATAAGTGTCTTTTATTATTACACAACATTTTAAACTGGATTTTATTTGAGTAAAAATTTTCTATGGCTCCTTTTGTTAATGACGAAAAACATGTTTGTGTTTCTTAAAATAAGTTATAAAAAACTACAGTTTTGATGCCACAGTGAAAACTCAAGATCTGCAACAACTATCAATTATTTTCTTCATTGATTAACTTGCCCATTTCCTGCTTGATTAACTGATTAATTATTTGGTTTATTAAATTTAACAGAAGTCTGATTTGGTGTTGAATATTCAGTTTATCATCACAGAAGACATTGGAGAAGCTGGATCAAAGCAACTTTTTACATAAAAAAATAAACAAAAAACTGATCAATTATCAAATTCAGTGCAGATAAATCAATGAATCATGTCAGGTCTAAACTCAGGTATCATTTCTGCACTCGTATCAACCGATCGGCAGCTCTACTCTCAGCCACACAAGTCGCACGCAAACACGCAATTTACACTGCATGTCATCAAGTGTGAAACATCACACCGCCGTATGTAAATGAGCTCCGTCATCCAGACTGAGCTGATCGCAGACGAAGCCCCTGAACGCAGCGCGGCGCAAACAGCTGATAAACGAACAAAAGCAGAGTTGAGACGCTGCTGCGAAAATAGGTGGAGAAATGTTTGAAAAGCTGCATAGTTTAAGACTGTTGACATTTCAAATATGTGTGTGTGTGTGTATGTGTGTGTGTGTGTGTGTGTGTGTGTGTGTGTGTGTG